AAAAAAAAAAAAAAAAAAAAAAAAAAAAAAAAAAGAAAAAAGAAAAAAAAAAAGAAAAGAGAGAGAGAGAAAAGGCACAAGACAGAACATAGGCACTGCAAGAGATACAGATTGGGGATGTTCTGGGGGCTGAAGGTTGGAAGCAACATGAGCATGTGAATCAGAAAAGAGCGAAGCTCCTAAGGCCATGGCTCTAGGACAAGTACTGGAAATAAACTCTACCTGGTTCATTCCTTTTATGCTTGCTTTCTGAGTATGTGCTCATGTAGAGAACAATCACTAAGGAAATGTTCATAGTGTTTCAGTGCTGAATCCAAAGTGATAGTGTTCCTTTTTGCAATGGGCACCTTATATACTATTGTTAGCATGACATCCCCTAGGGCACTGATGACACTGCTGTCTCATTTGTGAAATTTGATGGTTGCCATCCCCTAGATGTGTGGATAGTGCCCATAAATACCTAGCAAAAGCTCCTGCCCATCAGTGCTCCAGACAAAAACTGAACAATGAATCAAAATTTTGAAATATTAAAATTCAAATATAATGCTAATGGATTATATGAATACTCCTGGAAGATATGTACCCATCCAGTAAAACCAGGGGTTAATTAATTCATGCGTGTTTTTCATTTTTTTCCTTGTATTTTGTCCAGCTGCTAAAAGGTGAAAAATAAGTGGCATGGTTAAAATATCTGTGGTTAGGATACTAACCTTTAGCAAATTGTCAGAATGCAGGAACTCAAGGGAGGGAAGGCTAAAAAGAAATTTGCAGAAATAGAAGGTAAAAATGACCAGATATCAGTTCAACAAACGAATGCCATGGAGACTAGAGGAAAGAAGCACAATTAAAATAGTTGACATTTTCTGAGTATCTACAACCTGTCAGGCATTATTCTAAACTCTCTGCCTGTATTACTACATTTCATGACCAAAACAACTCCTTGAGGAAACAACTATTATTATTTTCATTTTACAGAGGAAAGTAAGGAAACTAATGTGAAGTCTTTGGTCCAAAGTTTGTACAGTCAGAGTCAGCATTTTTAATCATGATCAGATACTGTGTCCCAGAAATGATTACAAGTACACTAACAGGAGACTATGAACATACCATATTGATTTATGGGCACTTGCAGAACAATCTATGACCCATGTCCTCACTTCATTTCAAAGAATCAGTATAGTTCAGTGAGAAGAGGTCTGGAAGGACTGCTGAGAGTTATTAATTCTTGCCTGTGTTACCCTAAAAAATTTACCTCCTCTCTAAGGACGATATTGCCTTTTGTAATTTCCATAGCTCCATTTAGATTTAAAATTAAAATATGTTTTAAATAAAAATGATCAGTAAAGCACTGCTAATAATAGGAATCCAGTATAATCTACTCAGTATGTGTCTATAAGTTGGTCCTGATATATGTAAAACCATAGTAACTGACAAGTTAGATTAGATCCTATAATTTTATTTTCCTCTATGAAATAATTAGGCATTAAGTTTGAAATGCTATGTCACCAATAACGGCTTTCTTGTAAGATATGTGGAATTTAAAGAAAAGGAGTTGTACACACAAAAAAAGAACACCCATGTTCAATGCCCTGAGTTAGTGGGTTGCAGCAATCATACTTGATGCAAGAATTCGTCTTTGAAATGGTAATGAAAGCGTTAGCAATATCCACTTAGAACCCAAACAGACCGGGTAATGAGCAATATGGTAATTAGGCAAGGAGGGGCCAGGTGGAGGAGGTACTTACTTAGTAGAAAAGAAGTCCTCCAGTCCAATATAGCTGAGCGTCTGTGATTCAACTCAAGAATCTTAATGCTCCTTTAAATGTATATGCAAGATAAAGTCTATAGAATATGGGAGGTAAAAGCAGCATAATTAATAGTAACTATCTCCTCTTTTCAGAGTTGCTACCAGAGAGACGCACTTGCTTTTTTACTATGATCCTGGAATGTTAATTTTGAGTATCCATATAAAAGAAATCCTTAATAAAAAGATTTCTTCATATCATCATGAAGGTTAAGTTAAAGTCAACAAATGATAATTCACTGTTCTCATGAAATTTCTTCACCAGTGACTAGCTCAAATTCTGACCCGAGCAGGTCTGTTTGGCCATTTGAGTACTATCCTCCCTTTATCACTATGCATAAATAAATGGGAAAAAATAGAACTGTAAAAGTACCAGTTACTGTTACTTTGCAGGATGTAATGCGACCAAATAACCATAGGAGAGTAAGTAGATTCTTGTCAGTTCAAATCATAGAACCATGCTTTCAGGTCATGGCTTGTGAAAACATATGCCCTTTTCTTGACACTGGTATTTTAATGAAAGATATAAAGATTCACACATACGCATCCAATAAAGATTCATTCATTCAATTTGCAAATATTAATTCAATGCTTAATATGCCACAGGTATTAAAGTAATGTGGGAAAAGCTCAAAGTTGACCAGATCTCAGGGGTTTATTTTAGTCGCTACTTTATCTGAATTCCTTACGAATAAGAACAAGATGCTTGAGGAAACTGGCCCCTAACTTTTATGAATTGTTCATCTCAACTTCAGCTACTTTAACTGCCACCTCTTCAAAATAAACTCCAATTTATTTAGTAACAAAATATTGTGACTCTCAATGAAGCTTTCTCCCTTCCTAGTGGAGTTTACTTGGTCTAAAATAAGAGATTGAAGTGAACTATGTACTTCATTTTATCACTCCCTTTTTACATATTGTCCCAAATAAGCTGCATTCTTTCTTAATAATTTGAAAGCATTATCGTTTGTGCCCTGGGAATGACTAGAGAAGCTTTTAATATTATTAAGCCTGGATCAAATCAGTCCAGTATAACTTGGGCATAGGACAAATGTTTCTTTAACCACACCCCCTTCTTACCAATTATTCACAACTATATTGGTGGCATTGTTAGAAAATCCTTGCTGTCTCTGATCAGGGGTTCCAGAAACAGGCCACTGTTATACATTTTGCTGACGACCCTTGAACCAAGCTGCCAAGTCAAATCTTAGCATGCAATCTTAAAATCCAAATGATGATTCATTGTTTGCAAACAGAGAGACAGATTACCATTGTTAACTTGACCTTAGCCTCTAACTCTGAGTCAGAAATGCTTAAAGACCTGGGCATCTTAACTGGAGCAAGACGTAAATCAAATTACCTTCAACACCACAAAGCAATGAATGGTTGGCATCTTATAAACTGCAAAGTGCAGTGAGTTTTCCTTGGAAGATGAAGTTGAAACTGATGACAAAAGACCCCATTACTTAATTGAGTTTAATAAAATATGAAGGAACAAACTTTGCCACAGGTTCAAATAGTCTGATGAATAAATAGGGTCATTCTGAGTTTGCTAACTGCATAGTTCTTGGGAACAAAGTTTTTCTGATTATGAGTGAAACGACAAAAGGATAACTATCTGGAAACATAATATTGTCTCAACTTTCTTGCTGCAACCAAATGAAATTAGTTATTTACGTTTTGTAGTGGGTTTATTTGCAAGATTTAGAGCAAGCTAAGAGGGGAGAGAGCACAAAAGGTCGCCAACAGAGACAAGGAGAAAGAATTTGGTCTGGAAAAGACAAGCAATTTTGGTAAATGAAGGAGGTAAAGTGAAGTTGATTAGGTGGGAGCTAAGGTCAGGCCAAACATGATCATCAAATAAAAATTTTACGAGTATGTCAAATTTCTTCGTTATCATGAGTTAGACTGCAATTTCCTTAAATGATGGTTGAACTGAATTGATGCAGTGTGGATCCACAACTGAGGAAAAGAAAGACTTGGAAGTTTCAATAATAACAGGTCATTATTGCTTTTGGTGTAAAATACCAACTCTACTTTTTCCATTGAGCTTTAGCTAGAAACTAGAGGTAGAAACTAAAATGCATGTATGATTTTTTGAAATGCTTATAAAATCTAATTTTGGGGTTTCTTTTTACTTTTCCAATATTTGATCTAAAGTTTATTAAGTTGTTCATATTTATCGCACTCATTTCATTATATACTCAGAGTTCTTGCTGTAGGTTTTGTCTTGAACTTGTAAGACCATTTGTCATGCACAGAAGTCCCTGTATTCTTCTCGTAGTTAATCCAGTGTTTGTTGTTGTTGTTGTTGTTGAGATGGAGTTTCACTCTTGTTACCCAGGTGGAGTCTCGGCTCACTGCAACCTCCACCTCCTGGGTTCAAGTGATTCTCCTGCCTCAGCCTCCCGAGTAGCTGTGGTTAGAAGCATGAGCCACCATGCCTGGCTAATTTTGTATTTTTAGTAGAGACAGGGTTTCTCTATGTTGGTCAGGCTGGTCTGGAACTCCCGACCTTAGGTGATCTGCCCACCTTGGCCTCCCAAATGCTAGGATTACAGGTGTGATTATCCAGTGTTTGTAAGCCTCTGTCCAAAATATGTGCAGCTCATGATGCTGCTGTAGAATCTTTATTTCCATAGGCATCTATTTGATCATAGCATTCAGATTGGAGGTGCTTCCAATAGACATTCACTCCCACTGGAAATTCTTTAGAAATCACAGTATGAAACCATAAAGTTTCCAGCCTTGGAATAAAAATTCAGTTTTTAAAACAAAACTAAATCAAAATTAAATGTTGAAAAAGTTTAAGATCGATAAAAGGGCTGGGTACGGTGGCTCACACCTGTAATCCCAGCACTTTGGGAGGCTGAGGCAGGTGGATCATTTGGTGTCAGGAGTTCGAGACCAGCTTGGCCAACATGGTGAGACCCCCATCTCTACTAAAAATACAAAAAATTAGCCAGGCGTGGTGGCAGGAGCCTGTACTTCCAGCTACTTGGAGGGCTGAGGTAGGAGAATCACTTGAACCTGGGAGACGAAGGTTGCACTGAGCCAAGATTGCACCACAGCACTCCAGCCTGGGCAACAGAGTGAGATCCA